ACTTTGATTACTGTGACATTGTTTGGGGTAGCTGTGGGAAAACGCTACGAGACAAACTACAGAAATTGCAGAATAGAGCAGCCCGTGTGTTGACATTCTCTAACTATGATGCTGATGCAAATGAGCTACTCGAGTTTTTAGGGTGGAAAAATCTTGCACGCCAGCAGGAAATTCATAAAGCCACCATGATGTTTAGACGTCTGCACGGGCTAGCTCCAGAGTATCTGTATTTTAAGTTTACGTGGCGTGACTCTGCTTGTGACCTCGGGGACTCTGAAAATAAGCTCAATGTTCCATTACCACACACTAATTATTACAGAAAAAGCTTTAACTACAATGATGTCACATTATGGAACAGTCTACCATGCGATTATAAGGAACACAGAGTCTCTGGGGGTATTTAAATGTAAGATCAATGGTACTATTTTAGTCTAACGCACGGCATTCACGGAAAACAGCTTTTACTGTTATAGTATGCAGTTTGAATTTTAAATATCTTAGCGTATGTGATATGTATGAATTGATCGTGTTTAAATAAAGATTACATATCTATGCAGCATACCACACTTTCTGTGGACTTATCTGCGCAATAACCCAAGTGGGATGAAATTAAAAAAACAATAGAAAAAATTCCGTGAATCGCTAGTCGGTGATCAGCAAAACGTTTCAGTTTCTCGGGTTGTTTTGGTAGTTTTCTCTTTGTCGTGTTTTGGATAAGTCAATTTACAAAAACCACCTCTTGGAGAACGTTCGCACAATACTCTGCCACTGGAAGGTCTACCTTTTTTTATTATTTCTAACTTACCACAATTTTAATTTTCCTTCTTTTCTCTTTTCATTTTTTTCAAATGCAAAATAAATGGAAAATTTGCCAACTTTAGCAGCAGTGATTACCCAAAGCTCGAGACGACTGGCAACAAGCATAGACTTGTTTTCCGAGTACCCGCCGATCAATTTAGCAAAACCATCGAAGTTGACCAAGGGGTGACATTAGGGGATACAATTGAGGACGAAGATGAAAACGTAGACAACAAAGACGGCGAAAACGACAAAGACAACAAAGACGACGCGGTATCTGTTCAGCTGAATCTCTTGCTGCTTTTTGTGGTGCGGGCAGCCATATTCACGTTCAACCGAGGACTTAAAAGTTCGTTCTTTAGGCTTTAGAGAAGTTATACACGCTGCTTTAATCTGATGTAGGGGGTTGGGGAGGGGACACTCAACTTATCACTAGGATAGTGCGTGCTGATGACACTCGATGCATTGGTTGCACATGTATACCTCTTTTCGATGTATGTTCCATTTTTTTTATAGTCTACCTTGAGCTGTATCATGATTCAAACCCAAAAGCGTGGTTACCTTTAGGAACCATTTTGAATAGCCCTGAGCCTTGCTACTACCATTCAAAAAAATTTTCATAACCTTCGAAGTTTTCTCTGCAAAACAAATCAGCTTGTTTTAAAACAAAATTGTTTGATTTATAGCAGAATATTTCAAAACCAAACTGATAGTTAGCGGGGGGGGGATACAGAAACCCCTGCCTAGTTCATATCAAGAATCTTATGGAAGTACCACCTCTCCCTCCTTTCCTCGCAATCTGTTTCCAGTTGGCTATATCCAAAATTTCCCACTTACAGTAATACAAGCAAGCAACCGTTGTCTGTACTCTTATCGACAACGGAAAATTGGCCAATCAGATTGCGAAATTACGGCTAATTGTGGTGTGTCGTTTTAAAAGGCAGCAGAAAATAAAAAAGATGGTGGGGACACTGCGGTGCCTAAAGGTTGTATCCAGTCTCTTCTCATTTTCATGACCCCCCTTCGCTTCGCTAACAGGTTTTTTATTTCCTCTTTAAGATTATTAGCATAAGCATGGTGTCTATGAAAATAACGATGAATACCCGCAAGTTGTGCTTGTATGGTTGTCTGATGTTTTTATTATCGATGTCAAAGTGCGATAGTTGAATGAAGTTGTCTTCATGTTGCTTACATTCTACACACTGACTTGATTTTTTTACTTAATAAAATCACTTGCACCAAAGCCAATCATAATTTGAATGGTCAGTGGCTGTTTGCAGATTCTAAGATTTACCTCTTTCTAAAAATCGAAGGCTTTTCTGGAATCTCAATCTTAGATCTAAATCTTGGCTACTTAATTATAGAATAATATAAATGTCCTAGCATCAAGAAACAAGGTCCTTAAAAACTTCCTGAAACGTTTGAAAGAGGAGAGTGAAAAGCTTAAATTGGCTAAAAAACTTCAGCCAAAGTAGTAACTCTCTAATTCTCATGACTTCCCGAGAAAGAAGTTTTCTGTACAACATTAAACAGAATTCAGAGTAAGTAAGGGATGAGAGTAAAGAAAATTATGGTGGAACAGAGAATTAACTATTACGCTACGAGTTCGTTGGACAGAGAAAGTCTGGGTAGATCGGGTTAGCTTAGTCGGCAGAGCAACGGTAAATCTAATCCGGAGGTCGTGGGTTCGATTCCAACCGAGGTCATAAGAATTTTCTCTTTACCTCGTGTGGTTCCCTGTTATCCTTTACCAGGGCTAACGCCCAGTGGGTTTTTCATGGGTCTCACTTAGCACTTTAATTTACGCTTCAGAGTTAATTCTCTGTTCCACCATTTGTGTTTATAGTGCTACGCGGCACAACATTTATATGTAGAGAAAATAAAGGTCCATCAGATATTTATGCTTGCGCGCGATTGGTTGAAACGCATCACGTGACCGATTATTTCCCTGCTAAAGCTGGGCGACATCCGAGATCATTAAAAAATGGATCATTGGATAATGTAATTCAAGACTTTTTATTGGTTTAGGTATATGAGCCAATATACCATAATCTAATATCTGTACATTATAACATCCGGTTTCTTCTTACAAAATAAAGTCAAGAAGATTTGTCTAATGTCTTGGGGGCGTCTTTTTAATTAAACAATCATTCCACTCGCTCTTGTTGGATATGAGATGATTATAGCCAACCAGGCGCTACGCGCCTCGTTGGCTATCTATCATCTGATATCCAACGCTCGCTCGTGGAATAATTGTTAAATATCACCTAAGTGAACGAATACGATCATCTATTCCTATGGAATCGGAGTATATGTGCATTATATAATTAAAACAAAAGAGAACAAAATGGAAGGTCACGATTCAGTTTTAGGACAATTTGTCGAGTTACCGCTATGGTGAGCTCCAGTCAGAAATAAAAACCTTCCATTATCTATATACGGGCACTATTCATATTCGAAACTATGCTGGTGAACAACTTCTTATTTGTTTAAGAGAACCAAAACTGAGACTAAAATTTTGTTTGTTTCTGTTAGAGAGTGAAAGTAGATTCCTAAGGCCTTTAAGCATAACGAAAATACCAATATTTACCAAGACTGGGTAAAATCCAATCCGGTCTGTAATCATATACGAGTGATAGTCAAGATGGCAAAGCAGGCGTCAATTTCATTTGTTAACTTCGAAAAGGAATGCAAAACATTGGGCGACAAAAAGGCTGGTAAAAATTTACCAAAACTGTGACTTTTATGGTCACCATCTGCGGTTACCATCAGTATGGTAATCATATGTACACGCATAAAATAAATAAAAAAGACTTGCTGCAGTTACCGCCATGTTGTATGGATGTTTTTGAAGTTCTCTTGTCGGTACATGACTGTAACCAAATTTCGGAAAAAATTTACTCATCGGATAAAAGTAATTTTGATTAGATAATTTCAGCTGATGTATACTGTTCAGTTCTACAGATACGACTCGTAATCTATCCCATCATATTGACCGATTACAAACATATAACGTTTACACTCTATTACTACTGCTTACATCGGGCTGTTATTACATGAGTGAACTTCGTCACAGTTTTCACGAAAAGTCCAGTATCCACTCTGGAAGTGCAAAATTATTGATCGTGAAACTGACTGGTGTACCTTAGATTAGACTCAAATTGCATCGACATTCCTTATTTTCAATCATAGGTAGATTGTCTGCAAGTGCGCAAGCTCTCTGAAGTCTTCCTTTGAAACGGTCTCTTATCTAAGTGAGAAAAATTAGGTAAATTAGAACATATCGAGGGCGCAAGTCCTACCTACTTCCTAAAGAGCTACTATAGAAAAAATCCTTATGTACGCAAGGCCGTGCATTTATAACGTGACGTGTGCAGTTTCACTTCGGCTGCAAGTTCCCGTCGAGTTTTTGCCGCGAGGTTTTATTAAATATCATTTTACCGTTCCATTCCGATTGAGATAGACCTTTTGGAGCTCAAAATGAAAAGTAAATATGCTAAACAGCAATATTTATATGGAAAAAGAAAGTATCATTTAATGTACCTTCTTACATGTACCAGCAAATTCACAATTATTTGAATGACTATTTGGCCTCAAAATATTTCTTGATATTTTTTTCCCGGTATTTTGTGCATAGTTTTCGGGTAGATAGCGATTAACCTGGTAAATCCGACGCAATGATGATAAAACTCTCTCTTCAAACACACGTTGTGTCCACTATGTTATAGAATAATTAGTTCATGCTTTTGTCGCCTAAAGGAACTCTTACGCTTCCCGTGTGCTCTCCAAACTTTCCGCGTGCACCCATAACTCAATATACAAACCCTAAGCATGAACCAATTCTTTACTAGAAACTTTCCTTCCGCTAGCAAAGTTTTCTTGCTGTAGAAAATGTGTATATCATGCAGTCTCAAAACTAATCCATACCTCACTATTTCTCAAGCAGTGAAAGAAGAAAATCGAGAAGCCCTAGAAAAAAAGGTATTAAGGGATTAAAAACAGAAAAGAAATTTGCCAGATAAATGATTACCAAAAAGAAAAAAGCCTTTAGATCAAGTAAGCGAAAAAGAAGCATTAACCCTCTTTTTTTAACGTGGGTTGAAGGTCTCTGTCGTAACAGCTATCCGTTAGCACTTATTTTCAAATCAAACTTTCCTTTCCAGTCGCATGCCATGCTTTATTGGTACATCTAAATTTTCAGCAGATCTGTAGTTTAAGAGATAAGCCCCTGTGACAGGGGTTTCACTATTTCTCTCTAGTTACCTTCTCTTTAGGGTTAGGGTTAAGTTAAAAAGATTCTGACCTTGAATGTTAATCCGCGTTACACTTGCTTATTGATTAGTCTTTTCGAAACTTTAGACGATCGTCGTCTTGAATGAGCAAATGTGTGATTCTGAAGCATTGATCGCCTTTCTTACACCCAGCAAAATCAAAGAAAATGTGAGTAATTACAGAAATTTCTCCCACATAGTAAATTTGCTCATTTTTGAGCCTTTGATCGATCTTGCAGCCAAGAGCAAATGGTAGTAATAGCAACTCTTTGGACACATTTACTGCCCTAACAAATCTGTGCAGTTTAAAGAATTTGATGGTCTTTTACCTGCCGAAGCAAAATACTGGTAATTACATAGTTTTGACCTGTTTTGCCATGTGGAGCAAACGAGTTCAATACCAAGTCTTTACACATCTTTGCCACGAGGACAAAAGTGCTCATAGCAACAAATTTGACCTGAACTTTGCTTCAACAGGAAACATTTGTCAATTCGATGGTTGCACTTCACTTTTGCAAAGCAGTCAAAATCAAATACAAATGTAACATTTAAGAACATTGCCAAGGTGGGAAAATCTTGCGCGTAAATAATATTTGCTCAAACATTAATGTGCGTAATTCATAGTAAATGTGGCTTTTACCACAGTTTTGCCTCATCTTTATTTATTTGTTTATTTATTTATTTATTCATTTAAGGATTTATACAAAGTACTGTTATATAAACAATAGGACATGAGTCCCCTACTGGATTTAAATACCAACCCAAGCCTCAAAAACTAAGCATCCTATCCCATCTATCTATCTTGGACACCTATGTAAATCCATTTTTTCGTGCAGTGGCAGTGAGTACGCCCTTACCTCCCTCTAGAAGTAAAACCTCAGATCAAACCTATATAAGCTTTCCATTTTACCTGAGTAGAGTTCAGGATCACAAACATGTAGGAAAAGGCAATATGCAATGGCGACAGGAAACCGATCAACCATGTGACTCCCAGCAATGGAGTCAACACCACGCATGATCGGAGACCTACCCTGAAAAGATGAAGAAAAAAATTTTTTCTCGAGAAATCGACCCTCAGAAAGTCGGATTTCGAGCTAAGATGCTCTACAAAGGAGCTACAAAACTCGAAAACGAGCCAAAACACTATGTGACAAGTACTCTGCACTTTGCTGGGAACAGCGGTGTCGTATGATACACAGAAAGAAGAAGATAATCATCTCACCGGATCTGTTCAGCCTGGTTTTCTTTTACATATTGGATTGTGGCAATTTCCTTGATGACTCGCGCAAGGATTGCTATGTTAGTCTTTACAAACAAAGAAAAGACGAATGTTGGCCTACTTTACTGATTTGTCCATCTCTAATAGTGTGAAATATGAGAAAAAGAAAAGAGGACAGGGGAGGACAATGCGGGCGGCAGCTAAACGTAAAGTCGATTCCACTAAACAAGGCTTTCAATAAGAACTGTTGCAGCTTGAGAATAAAAAAACCGTCGAGTAGCCTAAATTCCTTTGTGGATGTGGAGTCCGTTCTGAAAACCTTTTATAATTATTGTAGCGGAATGCATGAGAAAATGGTTCTTCCCTCTCTGCCTACTCGTTGTCTTCTATGAATAATATTATTTTTTTACGGGAGCACGGTGTTTGCCTTAAAACTGAAGTAAATAACTTAACTTAAAATAACTTAAATAGAATATATATTGATAAAATAATTTAAACAGATTCAAGTTGAGGTGTATCAGTGCTAAACTTATGATAGAACAAGTAATGTCGCCACATACAAGTTCGATTAGCCCAACAAAGGAAACAAATATCCAGAGTATTTTGTTTCTTGACGATAACCAGCAGCTTTCCAGAGGGAAATAATAGATTAAAAATTAACATATTAGTAAAACAAGGAATAAACTGAAAATTGAAAAGTACGATAGGCCAGATTTTCAATCTTTTCAGCGAAAATCAAGATAGACGACGCAGTTTCGATACAAGCCCATGGAGGAGGGAACTCGGTACCCTTTCCCTGGGTTTCCCTCTTCAGGTCGTCGAAAACTCACTCACATATGAATCTACAGTGATGCTTCCAGAATATAAAATAGGTAAACTTTCAAACTTACTACTGATCATTGACAAAATTCTCGATTCCGTCTTTTCCTGCAACAACACCTAGAGATGCAGCAACTATGACCGCAGGAAGTCCTGGAAAAAAAGCCACAATGAGTAAAAAGAGAAACAGCTGAAAATTATAATTTACTGAGTAATATTTAAGAGGGCAGCGAGAATTTTAAGAGAAGGCTATGTTGTGTACCCTTACATACGGCTGAAACCAAAAGTGATTATACCCGTCTCTTTGACCCTTTCACTCCCAAGAGTGACCAAGACAGAATTTCTCCCTACAATATCAATACAATATTAAGCAGACGAGTGTAGAAAATAAAGAAAAATATCAATTAGGATATTTTTAGTTGATACAAAACCAACGTCTCTAAACTAACATCATAAGAATTTTTATGGCAAAATGTAAGGAGAATTACCATTCAATCTTGGGAGTGAAAGCGTTAAGGCGAAAATAGAACTCAATGCGTGTTTCCCACCCCGCACAGCGTGTCAACATCCCAGCTCCGTTTGGCCGTAAGAGAACTTTAATTTCTTACTGCGTGGCACTTTTTTCGTTATGAAATCCCGACTGGTGAGTGCTAAAAGCCAATAAGAATTTGAGGATTGACACATCTTACAAATTCAGGTCAAACTGGCATATCACTTTTTTTCCGTTGATACTTGTTTTATTGAATTCAATTTACTTCAGTGCTCTCGTGTATTATGACTTCAGCTCTTATCACATCTTAACAAGTATTTTTCCATACCCCAACAAAGGCCATGATAGCGGCGGATTTTATCACCAATGTTGTACACCTTTACGACAAATAAGTAAATATAAATGCCCTCGACCAGCATCCAGCAGAATGCTGCCATCAGACAATACTGTAAGAGAGCTGCTACCGTAACACAGACAGCCTGCAAAAGATTATCATCAGTTGCCTGGTGTATGGGTAAGCGAAAACGTTTTCGGGAAAGGGAACAAAGACATATGTAAATAAGGGAAAACTTAACAATAAGCAATACAATAAACCCTTAGAAAGCAACAACAACAACAACAACAAAAGCTATATGTAAAAGCATCCAGAAAAAAATAAGATATAACATGAAATAATCTAGTAAAAATTACAATTAACGAATAGGATGGAAATTGATTTGTCCCAGCCTCTTACCTTGTTTTCTGTGGCATCAATTCCCGCAAGGAAGACAATATGTCCCGCTCCAATGCAAGATGTTAGACCCACTCGAATGTGGGACAAGGGTGCATGCCTGTCTCTATATAGGCCCAAGCAAACCGAAATGTAAAGAAATGTGCAAACCAAAATAAAATGTCTAAACCTCAGCTTGGGAAGCGAAGAGAGGGAAACCTTACCGCCCTAACCGTTTTCATTTACTAAATTTAGATCCCATGTCCTGTAAATGACCCTCGTTTTTAATCCTTTCTCTGCTTCTTTCCCATTTTACAGCTGTTTGTCTTCATGAATTTTATAAGCTTATGCGTTTCTGATTAGACATTACTTTGCCCAAAGAAAAGTCTGAAACCTCCGCAAGTGTAATCCTCAACCCAGGTTTGCTCAGGCTGTCGAGATGTAACTCATCTCTAAGGACAACGCCCTCTTCACCCACTTCTATCACCTGGACGACTATGAGACACGACACAATCAGAGACCACTTCCTTCATGCTGAAGAGACTACTTCATCCATACTTAATTGGCTAAGATTTCAACTGATAAAATTCTCAAGTTATAAAAAGTAACTGAAGAGGACATACGAGAGCAGAATATAGCTGATGATTGTAATAGAAACTCCTGTCAGCGATAAAGCCATCCCCACACATGTAAGAACTGTCAGAATCCTGTCATCTCCCTTTAAAATCAATTTTAAAAGACCATAGATTGTTAAGTATTCAATACTTATGCCCAGAAGCGTACTTTCTGAACTTCAAGAAGACCTTCAAGAAAATAATGTTTTAAAGAATATTCCATGATTTTTTCTGGAAATATCTTGATTTTTGTGACGCCTGAAATTCAAAGTGAACATAATATATACTTAGTAACTTCTAAATCAAATCAAAACTATGTAGTTTAGGTGTTACCTCTACATTCCTATTTTCATTGTTGGTAAAATCCATTAGAACAGCAAAGTGAGTTAAGTGATTACACTTGCACTGCGTTTGAGATTCGCTAATAATTCTGGTGTAACACCCTTGGGATGACCAACTCTCAGGGCTGTACGAGAAATAAAAGCAACTTCTTAGTGGTTCACTGTATATTCCTGTAATGAAATCTAATCCAGCTTTCTACATGGCCTACACAATACATGTAGGTGCCTCTAAACTGGAAAGACATATCATTTTGCAAGAAGATGTCTTTCAAAGATTAACGAGGCTTACCTGTCTCCAAGCATGTCCCAGAATACACACTCTCTACTTTTTCCGCCGGCCTGAGAAAAATGACAGTAGTATAAATCAAGAAGAATTTTATGGAAAATATCATGTTTGAAAACTGAGATTTTATACAGAGGCTTAAAATCATGACATCGTTTAACTTTATCAACTAAGTTGATAATGTGGATAGGCCACCGTGAAGAGATTTATAAAGCCGATGCTTCGAGTGTTATCCCAACGTTCATGGAGAAAGCTAAAGATTAAATAGAGTTTAAAAGGGGGAGGTGAGCTTCTGTCATTGTAGAGAAAATGTGGATACCTTTAAGTGTTTAAAAACCAAGGTGATGTTCTCCTGTAATACATCAGGATCAGGGTATATATCAACGGACATGATTATAGTGTTCAACTCCCTGATAACAAAAAAAATATATATTTTTTTATCATTTCGCATTTTAAATAACTACAAGACAAACAAATATGTATTCTGTATGAAAATCGCTTGTAAAAGTAGTCATTACTCACTTAATTAGTCAGGTCAGGTCAGGTCAGGTCGCTGTAACCGCAACTTGATTCTGCAACAGGTCAGGTCGCTGTAACCGCGGGTAACCTGCTACTGGTACTATGTAACCCAGTACAACCTGTCGCGTAGTCGAGTCGTCGGCAACTAAACCGACAACCCCCCCAGGCTTGCCTGAGGAGGAGGGTGTGTGGACACCCAGTTTGGATTAAAAACAAGACCTTCAAAGGGCGGATGAGCTCCTCGCGAGCCAACGGCCATCCACTGCAGCAGAACTTGTCCTCCAGTCGTCGAGATATCCTTGCCATTGGAACCAGGACATGTGATGTCAAGCACCGTGGGAACTTTGCCGTGCAACTTTGTACTCACGTTAAAAACTCACGCACAGCTTCCACTTGGCCAAAAGTCCTACGGCGACTGGTAAGCGGCGACGGGGGCAGGATTGTGAAGTCTGGAAGCCTTCAGTTGTGAACCAGCACGTAGGCAGTGGAGGTCAAGTTACAGTCGCTCTGCTCTTGGAGTTGGGAACAGAAGAGTAGTTCGGTAGTCGCCCCCATGTCTGAGCAGTCCTCTTTAGGAGCCACTCTGCTCACCCCGCATGGGGAAAGGATTAGAAAAGGTATCCTAAACATAGTCTGTTTCCTTATATTCCCTGGCTGGGTTACCGCACCCAGCGGGTTCACCTTTGTTGCGGTCGAAAACAAAGAAAGCAACAACTCCTTTTTGGTACATGGAATGTACGTACTTTGATGGACACTGAAAATAG